GTAGTGGGCGATGGCCCCAACCTGCGGGGCTGTCGAGGATTCCAGGCTGCGCAGACGACTAAGCAGCAGACCTGGAACCGTGGTGGCAAGAGCGGGAATGCCGAGACCGCCACTCGAAACTGGTGAGTGGAAAAAGGCCGTCGGAACATCGTGCGGAAGACGAAGCCATCTGCGAACCGCTGCGCGGATTGTGACGTCGAGAGCTCTCAATTTTCCAAGTGTGGCCCTACCCAGGACCAGCGAGTGGTAGAGGCGAGGGAGAAGAAAGCAGCGGACGATCTTTAGCCGCTGCTGGGGCTTCAGAGGTGCTCTGCTCAGCCGGCTCAGATATATGGATATTTTCGAGCCGACTTTCTTCGGTCCTGCCGGCCGGAAATCGACCCCGAGGTACCGCCATTTGGCGGTTGTATCCAGCTGCGGGAGGAATGTCCCATCCCGCAGGCGGAATTCCGGGGCCGTCAAAATTTTAATTTTCTTTTCCCGGCCGGAAGGAACGAGAGAAAGAACAGAGCACTTCTTGGCTTGAAAAAGAAGCCCCGACTCCCTCGCTGTGTCCTCCACCACCCTGATGCTGTAATATTCTTTTGTCATCGCGACTGTTACGTTGCCCTTATCAGCCCTTGTAAAAAGAATATCCGGATTATCATGGCAAAACCTCCTTGTATATTTATACATACTAATCAAATCTTCATGAGTTGAATTAATCTGGTTCCACAACTTTCCTATTTTTTACACGGCAAAACTAAGTTTAATTCAACTCATGAAGATTTGATTAGTATGTATAAATATACAAGGAGGTTTTGCCATGATAATCCGGATATTCTTTTTACAAGGGCTGATAAGGGCAACGTAACAGTCGCGATGACAAAAGAATATTACATGAATAAGATGGAAGGTTTACTTGAAGACAATAGCACCTATTCTATCATAAAAAAGAACCCATCCTCCAAAATAGAAAAGGAACTAAACGATATTCTTAAGAAATGGCAAAAAAAAGGGTACATTTCTAATAAAGAATATTACTCACTACGTTCCAGCGACTCCCTTCTTCCAAAATGTTATGGTCTCCCAAAAATACACAAGGAGAATACTCCATTTAGAGTAATTGTGTCATCGATTAATACCACGCTTTACTCGATAGCCACATTTTTACATAAAATCATTTCAAATAGTATTCCTACGGGAAAAAGTAATGTAAATAATAGTTTTGAACTTTACAGCAAGCTAGCGGGTAAGAAAATTGGTGCGGAAGATATTCTAACATCATTAGACGTGGTTTCACTATTCACTAACATTCCGATAGATCTTGCAATAGAAAGTGTGAGTAATAGATGGAATTATATCAATACACATACATTAATTCCAAAAAATGAATTCATTTCCATGGTTAAATTTATATTGTCGTCAACATACTTCACATTCAATGACATTGTATACAAGCAAGTTTATGGCACACCTATGGGTTCCCCGTTATCGCCAATAATTGCTAATATTGTTATGCAAGATCTTGAAGAATCAATAATTAATGAATTGGACATCGGTATTGGAATATATTATAGATATGTAGACGACATTATTATGGTGGCACCAAAGAATAAAATTGATAGCGTATTGAATAAGTTTAATAGTTACAATCAACGACTACAATTTACGATTGAATACGAAATTAATAGAAGCATAAATTTTCTAGATTTAAACATTAAAATAATAGACAACATCATACACTTAGATTGGTTTCAAAAAAAGACATGTTCAGGTAGAGTACTATCTTTTTTATCGAGTCACCCTATGTGCCATAAAATAGGAGTAATTTATAATCTTATTAATAGGGCATTGTTATTATCTCATCCCATATATCATAAGAAAAATTTAGAATTGTGTATTAAAATATTATTGGACAACGGTTACCCTATTCATTTAATCTTTAAAGAAATAAATAAGAGAATAAGAGTTTTAAACAATGGTCAGTTTAACAACAATAGAAAAAAAGAAATTGCAGAAGATAATAGCAAGAAAAAATTTTTCGTCATTCCATACATTAATAACATTTCTGAGACAATAGCATCGACAATAAAAAAATCAGATTTCAGAGTAGGATACCGTTGTCTAAATAATCTTAACAAATTAATTAAAGTCCACAAGGACAAAAACGTGCATAACAATAATAATAATGTTGTCTACAAAATTAATTGTAAGAATTGTGAAGCTTCGTATGTTGGGCAAACCAAAAGAAAATTACGCACTAGACTAAAAGAGCATATGAATAATATTAAATTTGATTCCTCCAAGCATTCTGTGGTCTCTGAACATATTATGGATAAAAAACATGCTTTTGATTGGGATAACGTTAAAATACTTGATATTGAATCTAATTATTATAAAAGACTTATCTCGGAAATGATACACATCAAGGAACAAAGGCATGGTATAAATAATAACACAGACACCGAATTGCTTAACAACGCGTATTTCGACATTCTAGAAGAAATATCGAATTTTTAGACTTATGTAAATGTTTATTTTGTGAGATCTGACACCTATTTATTCGACTTTTTAAAAGACTAGACAACAGTCAAGTACTAACAATAAGACCAACAACAATTAGAAGCATCGTTATCTCAAGTTATTCGGAACAATTTGTAAGCATAAAGGTTCAATATTTTAGTAGTTAGTTTAATTTATAATTTTTAATCTTTTTTTCACATACACATTAGTGGAATCCTATTTTACAATTGAATAAATTCTTTAAATTCAGTTAACAAATATCAAATAATTTGGAGAAGATGAACATAATCATTGCCAGATCGAGGGACTTTCGTCAAATAACGATAAGTGGTTCATTTGGAGTAATGTATAAGTGTCACTCCAAGTTTTTATTAATAATTCTAATATATTTTATGAATAACCGGACGAATCATTCTGCTTCTAATTGGGTTCTTACTTTGTTGAACTATTTTAATGGTCTCAATTCATTGTAAATATATTTTGCGTTTTAACTATGACTCAACTATATAACTTATATTGACTATGTATTGCGGATTTTTTATTAGAATTTTATGTATTTATTTATTATCGTTATTTATTATCACTATTTTTTTGCGCACTGAAGAGGAGCAAGTAGAGCTCGAAACGTTTGTATAATTATTATTTCAAATTAAGAATTTTCTTCTCAATAATAAAATAATATCGTATTGCTCGTTACACATGGCCTTAATTTAATAAAAATATTTAAAATATTGTTTAAAAATATCATCATATGTATATTCATAAAAGTTGTAATCTTTGTTACTTATTTAGACATGTAAATTCTTTGAGTACATTTTATTATATATTTGTTGTATATGCATACATATATCAATATTTTTTTTATAAATTTGTATAATATTATGTACAATTATGTGTGTGTGTGTATGTATGTATGTATACACATATAAATATATTTTTTATAATATCTTGTGAAAATATTTAAATAATTACATAAAAATAAATTAAATTTTACAGCTGCTGTACGTCTTAATAAAAATACTCAAGAGTGTACAGATTCAGAAATAATAGGCTTTATAAAAGCGTGGCTTGTAAGGAGTAAGGATCGCTTTAATAATAATAAAGACAAAAATATAGCTCTTCAAATAGTTGAAGCAATTGAAGAGTCAACTAATCAGCAATGAAACAGAAATATATAATAGCGTTTTCGAGCGAGACGCATTTTGATCGCTCCGGGAGCGAATTATGTCATTGACCAATTATATCATTTCATTTTTTTTTGGAGAAATGGCTGTGATTGATCAATGCCGTCATAATTCGCTTCCAAAGCGATCAAAACCCGTCTCGCTCGAAAATGCTATAAGATTCAAGATTCGAAATATTTTTAAGTTTTCAGTTTTACTCCACGTTTGAGATTATGCACATATGTGTGTATATTATATTTAAAGCCCCTCGATAGTCACCGTAAAACTCTGAGTTGACGATGCCGACATTATAGTTCTGTTTCTTTCTCTCTTATGTACTGTATAGTTTTGTTTCTTTCTTTAAAAGAGAATGACAGTGAAAAATTTTTAGATAAAAACATGTTTGAACAAAATAACGCTACTGATCGCTTTAGAATACTTGAAAGATTGTCCGAAAACTGACCTGCTCTCTTGACACGTCATAAATAACTGAAAAATGAGTGTGAAACAAGGTCAAAAAATGCAGAAAAACTTGTAGTTTGACAACTGTTGAAAGGAAAATCAATGTTCCTTTCACGTAATATATTTCTTACACAGTTCAGTTTCCGGACAATCTTACGGGTCTCATGAATATATGACACGTCGCAATACTAGCGTAAACCTAATAATTACGAAATGGCACGCAAGAATTTTCGACGTGTCATTTCTCGCTTCTGATGTCATGAATCCAATATGACCGCGGTGACTACTGAGGAGCCTTAATATATTTAACATAGTGTAAATTTACGTTTTTATATTATATTTAGAATAGGATTAGATAAACATTATGTCTTTAAATTTTTGTGTTTAATATATTCTGTCGGGTTACAATTCTATTCTATTAAGTTACAATACTAAATTAAAAATATAGTATAAAGAAAAATTTATATATTTAATTATGTATTATGATAAAACAGAAAGAAGAAAAGTGCAAATAATAATGCTAGTCTGTATTATTTTATAAAACAAAAGAAAGAAAGGTGCAATTTTTTTTAATTTTATGAAATAGATTTTAAAATACATCTGTTATTAACACACACATTATATTTATATTATGTATTCATATATATTTGTATTAATTATTAATACATTTAATTTGTTTAAAAAAACACATATTGCATCGTATAAATATACTCGGCTGTTTATATATGTAAAATTATATATATTTAATTATATATATATATAATTTATTATTAATTATAGTGTTTTTTATTGCAAACTTGTCTTTTTTTAATAGATTGTTGTATTAACTCTTTCCCTTTAATATATCATTCCACATGACTTTATATGTATACACACACATATGTAATAATGTCTATATACATGTATGACACATATGACTCATTCAACTAAATAAAACTACTATTGTATATTTATATCTATAACATAAAATCATTATAAAAGGCGATTTTGGCGATCCTTTGGTATATATACCAAAAGATCGCTAAAAATCGCCTAAAATAAAAGATATATTCTATATGTTCACATGTGCACATTCATATAATATAGACAAACTCACACGTATTACACTAGGCAGATCAAAAGTGCCTTTTTGTATAAATTTTGTATCGAAACACACATCATATGCATTTTTTAAATATAATATAATATGTATATACTATATATGTAGCTGGAATAATGTACATAGAAGATTCAAAATGTGTTATGTGTGTGTGTGTGTGTGTACGTGCGCGCGCGCGTAATTAGTATAGTTTATGTATTGTATACTCTGTATATACATTCTTATATATATATATATATATATATATAGCTTGTATCACATATCATACCAGTAACAGCAATGCCTAATACATGAATTTATGTGCATATTATATGCTTCAATTTGTGCATTACATCATGTGTTAAAACATTCCTATCTCTTTTTACATAAACTGTATTCTGATATTCATTGTCATTACTGAAAATCTATAGTATATGTGATGTTTCAGTGAATATCAGAACGTAGTTTATTTAACAAACACAGGGATAGATACATGGATTTATGCACATATTGGAGTATATATATGTATGTGCATAAATTCATGCGTTAAGACATTGCTGTCTCTGATATTGTACATGCTATATATAAAGAATGTATGTACATAATATATATATACATAAACTGTACTAATCATGCACATATGTATATACTCTGCATCTTCTATGTACATTATTACATTTACATATACATTTCAAATTCGATGTATCTACATGCATAAAAAAAGTATATACAAAAAATATACATAAATACATATACATAAAATGTACATAAATATACATCTAGGTGCATTAACCCTGTTTAATTTTCATATACATTTCACGTTTTCTGCATGTATACTGTATCAAGAAAGTATATACATGTGTTCAGAAGTAAGTTGACCCCAGGTCAAGAACTTTATTATTTGTTCAAAGAGAATGAAGAAGTAGGTCGATAATTTGAAATTCTATAATTTTTGAGTTAATCCGGCACGGGGCAGCACGCACTGAACCTACACGCCGCGCTTCAAGCGTTCGATTATCGAATCGATCGGGGATGAACTGCCTCGTCATCGAACCTGGGCATTCGCTCCTGGCACGGCTTTGCGATTAGTCACATGTGGGTTTTCCGTCGCGATTCTAATTGTTCGTAGTTCGTTTGATTAATAAAAAAAATAATCAGATTGATATTCTGCTGTGATTCAGTGATAAGTGAGATGTGAAATACGTTCACTTTGACATTCGCTAATTAACGGTAGCAACAAGGTGCGCCGTTATATACGCGACATAAAATTTGCGCTCAAAACATTGTTAACGAAGCGGAATTCAGTGATTTGGGACCAGAATTCACGCAATGGTGAAATATCAAGGTGCCGAAGTCCGATTGTTTCCACGAACGTAATAATTGTATACATGAGGCTCGCGCGTGTTCGCTTGGCACGCGTAGATCACGTGAGTTGGAGCGCGCAGATCACGTGATCAGTCATCTGGGACTGATACCTGATGTCGTGATTGTGTTTGCGTTCCTTTTTTTCATCCCTTCGAGCCCGTGGTGCTCAACGCACTGTAACATTTATGTGATCAGTGATTCTTCATGTTAATTGAAACATTTCGGTTCGCGATTTAATATCGCATTCGCCGCAATCGGCAACGTGTACGAAATCTTAATGTGAGATTTCGAACGATTCGATACACGAGTTTCGAGCGTGTTCATCGTAACTAGCAATTGTTATGCAACAAATAGTTTTTCGGTGGTGTCCATGCAACACATGCTAGATACCATATAGTGAGACATTTCGGACTGCTTAACAACCACGTCGTACGTGTTTTCGCGGTGACTATTTTATTCGTTAATAGATAAAGATTTTATGTAAAGGTTTCAAATTAATTTGCGTTTATGTACATTGTGACTCTCGGACAAATTTAGTTAATAAATGGATTGTTTTTGTGTAATTTGTGCATATAATTCCGTATTCTGGTTCTCGATTCGGCACGTGGCTTAAATCGTTACCCATCCTGCGCACCAATCGGAGCGCGTCCACCCTCCTTAAGATACAGTCCACTTTGAATCTTCCTGTGCAATCTATACACGAGACGGATATCGACGATCGGATTTACAACCCGATTGTCAGGATCCGTAGCTTCGTGCGTGAGCGTTCAACGTCAGCAATCGAGCGTACGCGCAAACATTTTTTGGTCCTTCGAGCCGGATGGGAGAGTAATGACGAATCGAGAACACTGAATTAAGGACACCAGTGATATTTAAGTGCAGCGTGATTCGAGATACAGTCAGTCAAGTAATCGCGTTTAAGTAGACAATCGTGTTAGTGACATATTCATAAACAACTATAGTGTCAAAATGGAAGACGCTCTTGCAAATCAGCAAACTATCTTCCACTCAATTGCTCGAGCTCTCGACAATTTCAAAAAGATTGGTCGTTCTAATTTGACGGCCGCAAGGGTTCGCTCACGGATTGCGACTTTACAAGCTCAATGGACTCAAGGTGTGCACAATCACACCATTCTGCTTCAACTTGTTCCAGAGGATGATCAAGGGTCAATTAATTATTTCAAGAAGAATCAATTCGACCTTCACGAAGATCTCTATCAATCAGCCCTGGATCATATGAACGAATGTCTAGAAGACCTGGTTCCTGTCGTAAGTCGAGATACATCCCTCGAAACTTCTTTTGCGCAAATGGACGCATCGTCATTCTCGTTAAAGCATCTCCCTCCTATTAAATTACCGCCTTTTTCTGGAAAAAACGAGGATTGGGAGACCTTTCGCGACCGTTTTCAGTCGTTGATTATAGATAACAAAGAATTGTCAAATTTCACTCGTATGCATTTTTTGATCTCTAGTTTGACAGGTCCGGCCCGCGATGCGATATCAGGAATCAAAGTAACCGCCGAAAATTTTAAGGTCGCGTGGAAAGCGTTAACCACGCGTTTCGAGAACAAACGACGGTTGATCGAAGTACATGTGTCGACCTTATATCATCTTCCAAAGATGACTCGCGAATCAGCGTCAGAACTTCACGAGTTGCGAGATAAAACGGAACAAGCGTTAGCGACATTGAAACGTCTTGATCGTACAGCAGAGGATATTGTAAGCGATATATTAGTATACTTCATTTCACAAAAGTTTGATTCTGCTACGCGTCGAGCGTGGAAATTGAAGAGTAGCGATAACGAAAATCCTCCAACGTACAAAGACTTGATACGTTTCATATCTTCGCGCGCTATAGCGCTTGAGGAACTCCATCCTCACGAACACGATAAAACGAAGTCACATTCGAGAGTGACAAGCGCCACCGCAACTGCGTCAGTTAATTTGTCATGTCCAATTTGTAAACAATCTCACTTTCTCTCTAAGTGTCAACAATTTCTTTCAATGAGCACGGATCAACGACGCGAATTGATAAAGAAACTTAAGCGATGTTTCAATTGCTTAAGCGATAAGCACGTAGCACTTAATTGTCAGAGTAAATTCACGTGTCGCAAATGTAGCAAGCGGCATCACACAATGATCCACGTTGACTCGGGCTCATTGCAACAAACAACGAGCATTCCTGCGTCATCGAGTTCGCAGAATGTTACTAATATATCAAATGTCACAGCGCTTTCAGCGGTCACGTTAACTACATCACCGACTCCTGTGGTGTTGTCTACGGCAACGGTGAAAATACATTCGCTTTCTGGACGTTCCTTAACTGTCAGAGCCTTACTTGACGGTGGTTCAGAACTCACATTTCTTACGGAACGCGTAGCGCAAATTTTACGCTTACCTCGTATGCAAACATTTACTTCAACTTCGGGGATTAGCTGTGCAGATACCGGTACATGCCGATCTGCCGCGTTAATTAATATTTCGCCTCGCGATAAACCTGAGCCAACCTTCACCACGGTAGCTTACATCATGAGAGCATTGACGAAGTATGCTCCCAGACACGCTTCGTCATTACGTGACTGGAAACACATCTCCAACTTGACCTTAGCGGATGACGATCCGACTGGATCAACTCCTATTGACCTCATTATTGGAGCTGATTTGTATAGCAAGGTTCTTGTCAATATACGCAATGGACCCATAGGTCAACCAGACGCTATACAATCGCATTTCGGGTGGATTCTATCTGGACCTACGTCAATCCCTAATCATGTCATACAAAACACCCATGTAGTCGGCTCTACTTTGGTTTCATCGCATGTCGGAGCCCAACCTCAAGGCTCACCATTACCCAGTTCACAACAAAGGTATCATGCAGTTGCTCACTGCTGCTCCTTGGAACGGCAATTATGTAAGTTTTGGGAGGTTGAAGAAACTCCTCAACATGTTCATGCGTCCATAGAAGATAAACAATGCGAGGATCACTTTCAACGCACGCATACTAGAACAGCAGATGGCAGATATGTCGTGCGACTCCCTTTTAAAGAGGGCCCGCCTATTAAAATAGGCGACTCTCGCAGCATAGCTGAACGCCGACTTTCGTCGCTAATTCGTAAATTTGCTCGTCAACCCACACTTGCACAAGAATATTTGGACTTCATGCGCGAATATGAGCAATTAAATCATATGAAGCAAGTCGCTCCTTTGCATTCAAATAATGTTCAAGCGACCTATATACCTCATCATCCAGTCATCAAGGAGACAAGTTCGACAACCCGTTTAAGAGTCGTGTTCGACGCCTCCTGCCTCACATCCAATGGAACGTCTCTCAACTTTCACATGTACACCGGCCCAAAATTGCAGTCCGATCTACAAGCAGTTATATTGCGCTGGAGGCAATATAAATATGTATATTCTGCGGACATCGCTAAAATGTATCGCCAAATATTAATCGATCCTAGAGATAGAGACTACCAACGGATACTGTGGGTCGACCACAACTCAACTATACAGGAATATCAACTCCTTACCGTTACTTACGGCACTGCGTCAGCACCGTTTCTTGCTCTTCGAGTAATCCAACAATTGAACTGTGACGAGGGAGATTCATTTCCGTTAGCCTCTCCCATCCTAAGAGAAAACATCTACGTCGATGATGTATTATTTGGTGCAGACGATATCACACTGTTAAAGCAAGCTCGCACTCAACTTTGTAATTTGCTGAACCGTGGTGGTTTCGATCTCCGGAAATGGGCCAGTAACCACTCAGAATTGCTTTCAGATATTCAGCCTGACAATCATGGATTGGCTTACGCAAAAAATTTGGAGACTGATGACAGTCTAAAAATCCTCGGTATTGTCTGGAACCCGAAACATGACTGCTTTCAGTTTCAAATTACATTATCTGAAACTGTTCCTAACACCAAACGAGCAATTCTATCAACAATAGCAAGATTATTCGACCCGCTCGGGTGGGTCACACCTGCGATTTTAAAGGCGAAAACTCTCATGCAGCAATTATGGCGACACCGTATCGGATGGGACGACATTATTCCGGACGAAATCTTATCATCCTGGAAGTCTATCTACGAGTCATTACCCTATCTACGAAAAATTCAACTGAGTCGCTGGACAGGTTTTGAGTCCGGAACGGCAACTGTGGAATTACACGGGTTCGCGGACGCATCCACAATCGCTTACGCAGCAGTGGTGTTTTTACGCGTGACATCCTCCTCTGGGAAAATTACGGTCTCGCTCATTGCTGGGCGATCTAAAGTCGCGTCTCTTAAACCAATGACGGTTCCTCGCCTCGAACTTTCTGCTGCCGTTCTGCTAGTTCGCTTGATTGACTTTATCAAGCAGTCACTTCATTTAAGCGACATTGCGATTTATTGTTGGACAGACTCCACTGTAGTTCTCGCATGGCTCAAGAAGCACCCCTCAAATTGGAAAACTTTCGTAGCTCATAGAGTAGCCGAAATTCAGACACGATTACCAACCGGTAGTTGGCATCACGTAAACACCAGTGAAAACCCCGCAGACTGTGCTTCGCGCGGATTACTCGGCCGAGATTTGATATCCATCAACCTATGGTGGCATGGGCCGTCATGGTTGCATCTTCATTCTGATGAGTGGCCTCATCAAATTCTATCAGAGCACCACGAAACTCAGTTGGAACTGAAGGCATGTGAAGCTCATCAAAACAGTACTCGTGAAGACTGGAGTCTTGCTGCACGGTATTCATGGTGGCCAAAATTGATACGCGTCACTGCATATATATACCGATTCATAAACAAATGTCAACGGAAGCACGCGGCAGATCACAAAGATCACGTCCGGTCCCACGCCATTACAGCATTTGAGTACATGCAGTCTCGTAACTTTTGGTTGCATATGATTCAAGCAGAGGTGTTCAAGCAAGAACTTTACTTACTCAAGTCAAACAAGAGGTTATCAAGAAACAGCGCTCTGATATCATTAAATCCATTCCTAGACGCAAATGGTCTACTCCGCGTTGGCGGAAGATTGGAGCATTCTCATCTACCATTTCAATCCAAACATCCAGTTCTACTAGCTGATCATCCAATTACTACAATGCTCATTCGCTACACGCACATAGCCTCGCTGCACGCCGGTCTTCAGTCTACCCTGTCTAAAATTCGCCAAGAATTTTGGATTATAAAATCTAGGCCTTTAGTTAAATCAGTTATCTACAGGTGCGTTCGATGCACGCGAGAAAGAGCTCAGGTAGCCAATCAGTTAATGGGTCAACTCCCATCAACTCGAGTCTCAACGCCAACGAGGGCGTTTTTGCACAGCGGCATCGATTATGCCGGTCCAGTGCTCATTCGAGCCTCTGCTGGTCGAGGAATCACCTCACGAAAGGCTTACATAGCCGTTTTCATATGTTTGGCAACTCGAGCCATTCATCTCGAGTTGGTCAGCGATTATTCAACGCCAGCATTTTTGAACGCATTTCAACGATTTTGCGCCAGACGAGGCTTGCCAGCAGTTATGTATTCGGATAACGGTACAACATTCACAGGAGCCGATAAAGAGCTATCCCGCGCGTATCGGGATGCTCAACGCAATACGGATTTTCTCAATTTAATCGCAACAGATAGGATCACTTGGAGTTTCATCCCGCCTCATGCTCCTCATTTTGGAGGACTATGGGAGGCAGGAGTGAAGAGTGTCAAACACCACCTTCGTCGAATTGTAAGCTCACACGCATTGACATTTGAGGAGTTCACGACAGTGTTGTGCAAAATTGAGGCTATCCTCAACTCAAGGCCGCTTTCTCCACTCAATGATACTCCAGATGACTACGAGTTCCTGACCCCAGGTCACCTTTTGATTGGGACTGCCATTACTACGAATCCGGAACCTTCCGTTCTACAATTGAACGAAAACAGATTGTCGCGATGGCAATTACTCAGACAGATTACGGAGCGTTTTTGGAAGCAGTGGCAGTCAGATTATGTCAATACTCTTCAACAAAGATCAAAGTGGCGTCGAGAAACGCCTCCGATTCAGGTTGGCTCAATGGTTTTGATTCAAAACCCCCTTCTCCCACCGTGTAAATGGGAATTAGGGCGAGTTATTCATTGTCATCCGGGCTCTGACGGGTTAACTCGAGTCGTCTCAGTTAAAACAGCGACGTCCGAATACAAGCGACCAGTAACTAAATTGTGCCTACTACCTATCGATATTAACTTAATCGATCAACTGTCGGAACGTAAGACAGGTACTGCGGAAAACCCAACTCCATAATGCGCATGCAACGTCTCAATCGTTCGCATAATTAGGACAAGTCAAGTCCTTCGTAGTTAGTTAAGGCGGGCGGCGCTCAATATCCTTGACTACTCAAGACCACTCGCGTCGCGTTAATGTAAGTTTAGTAAGAATCTATGTCTTAATATTGTTATTCAATCATGTAAGCAACCAAATGCCTGTTATTGTTCAATATGTAATCACTGAATCTCACTCGAAAAATCATTAAGCGATTAACGTTTTATTTTTTCTTTTTTTTCTTTATGTAACAAAAAAAAAAAACCCAAACCTGGGGTAAGTTCTTTAGTTACTGTAAGACATTTCGAAATCTTTATTTCGAGGCGGGCGGTATGTTCAGAAGTAAGTTGACCCCAGGTCAAGAACTTTATTATTTGTTCAAAGAGAATGAAGAAGTAGGTCGATAATTTGAAATTCTATAATTTTTGAGTTAATCCGGCACGGGGCAGCACGCACTGAACCTACACGCCGCGCTTCAAGCGTTCGATTATCGAATCGATCGGGGATGAACTGCCTCGTCATCGAACCTGGGCATTCGCTCCTGGCACGGCTTTGCGATTAGTCACATGTGGGTTTTCCGTCGCGATTCTAATTGTTCGTAGTTCGTTTGATTAATAAAAAAAATAATCAGATTGATATTCTGCTGTGATTCAGTGATAAGTGAGATGTGAAATACGTTCACTTTGACATTCGCTAATTAACGGTAGCAACAAGGTGCGCCGTTATATACGCGACATAAAATTTGCGCTCAAAACATTGTTAACGAAGCGGAATTCAGTGATTTGGGACCAGAATTCACGCAATGGTGAAATATCAAGGTGCCGAAGTCCGATTGTTTCCACGAACGTAATAATTGTATACATGAGGCTCGCGCGTGTTCGCTTGGCACGCGTAGATCACGTGAGTTGGAGCGCGCAGATCACGTGATCAGTCATCTGGGACTGATACCTGATGTCGTGATTGTGTTTGCGTTCCTTTTTTTCATCCCTTCGAGCCCGTGGTGCTCAACGCACTGTAACATTTATGTGATCAGTGATTCTTCATGTTAATTGAAACATTTCGGTTCGCGATTTAATATCGCATTCGCCGCAATCGGCAACGTGTACGAAATCTTAATGTGAGATTTCGAACGATTCGATACACGAGTTTCGAGCGTGTTCATCGTAACTAGCAATTGTTATGCAACAAATAGTTTTTCGGTGGTGTCCATGCAACACATGCTAGATACCATATAGTGAGACATTTCGGACTGCTTAACAACCACGTCGTACGTGTTTTCGCGGTGACTATTTTATTCGTTAATAGATAAAGATTTTATGTAAAGGTTTCAAATTAATTTGCGTTTATGTACATTGTGACTCTCGGACAAATTTAGTTAATAAATGGATTGTTTTTGTGTAATTTGTGCATATAATTCCGTATTCTGGTTCTCGATTCGGCACGTGGCTTAAATCGTTACCCATCCTGCGCACCAATCGGAGCGCGTCCACCCTCCTTAAGATACAGTCCACTTTGAATCTTCCTGTGCAATCTATACACGAGACGGATATCGACGATCGGATTTACAACCCGATTGTCAGGATCCGTAGCTTCGTGCGTGAGCGTTCAACGTCAGCAATCGAGCGTACGCGCAAACAACATGGAATATATATGTATGTGATATGTACATGTTACATATAATAATATAATGTATGTACAGAATATACATATCATATACGTATGTATATATTTTGAACCTTCTATGTACATTAATCCGGTTTCATTTGCGCATACATTTTACATTTAATGTATGTATATTACATTAAAAAGTATATACCTAGAATATGCAATATACATAAATGTATGTACAATGTATGTACCCAGTATATTTTTACTATCTAATGTATGTACAAATGTGTATATATATGATATGTAGATGTTACATATAATAATATTGCATGTACAGAATATGCATACATACAATGTACATATCATATGCATATGTATATACTTTGAACCTTCTATGTACATTAACCTGGTTTTACTTGCGCATACATTTCACATCCATTGTACGTATATTACATCAAAAAGTATATACCTGGAATATACAATATACGTAAATGTATGTACAATGTATGTACTAAGAATATTTAAATGTTTTGTGGGTATTACCATGAAAAGTAACTGTGATATTTTATTCAAGGTGCAAGTTCACATTGAATATACATAACATATAAGTAAAACTGATTACAATTTGATTCTAGAAAATAAGTGCGATATGTTATTCTTAGTGCACAAAATATAATAGTTGTTTATAGAGATTTGATTTGAAATTCATACTAGCCCGTACAATGAAAAATAATTGCTCGTAATTCCAGAGTACCAATTTGTTAATGACTCAGAAAAATAACATGGCGGCCTGCTTTCAAAAAACTTTTGATGAGTAGAATAAATAATTGAAATAAGAGTTGTGAAAATTGTATAAATTAAAAACCTCCAATCTTTCTTTAGTAAAATTTCGAAATTTTGTATCAACTTCCGATATATGTATTTTCGATTCTTATCACATAACTTTGTATAAGTAACAATTTATGCAATATAGTTCAAAATAATTGAAATATATGGTATATATGTACATATATAAAATATATAATTATATTATAGTATACATATATATATATTTTATTTAATCATATATGTAAATGTTTGTATAATTGTAATAATTTTTAACGATACATTGCACATTTATTTCAATTGCAACAGAATGAATTTATATTTTTGTATGAATATTGAAAATAAAGAATGGGCCCCTCCATCGCCCATCCTCGTGAGAACGCAACCATATATTTTTCTTTGTCTCTCCGATTTTAACACGACATACATATTTCTGTCTGATAATTTTTTTCTGGATGATACTTTTTGAAATGTCATGAAGCCTAGGTCAAATTAGAAACTTATTGCACTCGTTTTAATGCAGCGCTTACAGCAGCTTTTATAAAGCGCCAGAGCAGCCGATATTTTATTTTGGCGCTTACGGCAACTTTTATACAGCGCTAGAACAGTTGATGTTTTAATGTAGCGTTTACGGCAGCCTTTATACAGCGTCAGAGCAGCCGATGTTTTATTTCGGCGCTTACGGCAGCCTTTATACAGCGCCATTATTTAATCTGTTCTAAGAACAATATGTATGCCCCTTGTGCTCCTTTGGGCCATTTTTTCTTGAACACTTCCATATCATTAGAGTAATACCATTCCGATTTTGTGTCAGCTCTCAACATACACGTGTAGTGACCACGATTCATTTCTTCACCTTCGTGAAATATAGCGCTTATTACCTTGTACTTTTTTTATTAATCGTGATATTACTCGTCGGCACGGCGTTAATCCGATTGTTGATAATTTTTTTAGAAGCACCGATTACAAAAGTATATAAATTGAGCTGTATTACTACGACGGATAAAGTTGATTCGATTACGGTTTTCTTTTCAACACGGTACCCTTACATTCGTTACAATTGCCGTTTATCGTTTCCCATTTAGAAAATTCTACATTAATCAAACTTTGTAAAGTGACACCTTTTTTCCTTTTTAATGTCGAATGTATAGGTAATATTAACAAACTACTGCTTTCCAGCTTAGTTACATTGTAATTACATTTGACATTCGAGCAACATGTTACGTGCTTTAATTCGAGTTCTAATACATCATTGATGTCGGAATACGTCGACATTAGAGCCGTAAAAAATTCCGAAACATCTTGTTGTGTTCGTTCTTCGAAGCGTTTTCCGACAGATCTTCTAACCGCTTGAATGTTGCAATATTTACGTTCACCATACGCGCAGATAGCATCAGTCAATGCATTCGATGCTTTATTTTTCAGTATTTGTTGCCTAATACGTACGCAATGAAACGCACATTGTAATATTACATTAGCGTAACACGAAACAGCATCGTTATTGCAAAGGCCATATATTTTCCACGTAACTATACTTTCTGGTTCCTCACAATCATAATTCTGCACATCATCAATGATATTAGGGATAGCCCATCGACGATCGTACATTTTCACAACCTTTTTCTCGGACGGATTGATTTGTGGCAGTTCAGATTTGAATATAGATCTCAGTCGATTATATTCTACAATGGCTCTCGAGTTTGCTTTAACTGATGCTGGATTGAAATTTATCAAATATAGGCCTTCCAATTTACTTACTCGTGACAAACCTACATAGGCTTGACCATCACTTAATACAGTCGTTCCTAAATCCATCATTGCATTGTTACATGTAATTCCTTGACTTTTGTGTATAGTTATTCCATAACTGAGAGACAATGGAAATTGTTTCCGATGTACCACTAATTTGTGGAATACTTCAAATTTAATATCTACTTTCGTTATTGCGATTTCTTTGTTATCCGAAATAACTATTTTGATGGAATCAATACGATTGCCGTCAGCAGAGCGATTAACTGCAACTACATTGCCTATCGTTCCATTGACAAGTCCCAAAGTTACGTCAATGTTTCGTCGAATCATCACTTTAGCGCCAATTTTAATCGCTATTACTCTTTCAATGCCAGCTGTTTCAGACACTTTATCATCTTTGTCTTCTAAAATTTTATGCACCTTTTTTTTTATTGCTGGAGCACAGTCGACA